TCAGGGCACAGGATGTATTGATCAGATGTGTCTATGCTGATGGATCAACATTTCTGCTAAAAAATAATTGGGAAAGTCAGCTAGGCTGGAAGGCTGGGGAAAGGTAAATATTGTTCTGTTTCACCAAAAAGATAAAAAGAAGATCCCTCCTCTTACAATTGGAGTTTGAAATTAGAACAAGAAACAACTGAAAGAATTATTGTTAAAAAGATGGCTTGTGAACACTTATAACTTAAGAAGATAGTTATTAGGAGTTAGCAATGGTTTATATGATTGATTAATCTATTCATTAGTCAAAACATTTGCTGAGTATGCAAGACATGCCAGACACAGAGGTCATAAAAATATAGAGGATTTAGCTTTACCTAAATGTTAGTAGCATTTACTAACAAAATTTCGGAGCAAACTAGCTTCACTTTCTTTCTTGATACTTTACCTACCAGGCTGGTGGAACATAGGGATGCATTCAGATTTCAGCAAGCCCTTTGAAATGGACTCCAATAGCTTACAGACAAGATGGGGATATTTGGACTGGTTGGTACTGGCTAAATGTTTCCATAACTGGCTAAATCACCATAGGCAGAGGCTATTTTCTACCTGTCAGCCTTACCAGAGTTGGAGCTTCTTTGAGACCCAGACATTCTGTTTCCCAGCAGGTGGGGAGAAGAAATGAGCCGAAAGAGTGTTCAGGTTCCTTCTGTCCCCAAGGTGGGACAACAGTGGGGAAACTGATCCTGCAATAGGGGCTGGTATTAGAATCTGAACAAAGCTAAATAATAGCGCCTCCTTTTCTAACCCTTCGAGTTGGGTGAGAGATGTGAAAATAAAGGCAAAGAGAGCCAAAATGCCACTTTCACTCCCAAGAAAAGTTGATGCTTGTAAATATGACACATCTGCAGGCCAGCTGATCCCTGATACTGGGCCCTAGGATAGACAGGTCCATCCACCTTGTCAACAGGGGTTGATGGACATTGGCCAGGTTGCCAAGTGACAGCAGCTCCTATTCCATGTTTGGCATTATCCCAAGGGGAAACAGGAGGAAGGCACTGGCTCACTCATGCCCACTTTCTCCTTCAGAACTCATGGATCTGATAAGGGAGGGTAGTTAAGGCCAGGTGTCTTTTACTAGCTGAGCTACCTCCACATGGAAGGACCATCAGCAGTGAAAGAGAAAAGAAGAATGTCTTTTTTAATGAGCTCCAGAAGGAGCACACAAGACATTCATATTCAAAGGAACACAGTAGTCCCTCTTACTGCCAAAATTCAAGCAGTTGGCTCTAGGATATTCAACACGGTAAGGGAAGTAGGGTTATCAAGGTTCCAGGTAGTGAGCAACAGTAGATTGAGTCATGGGTCAAAAATCAATGATGAGGTTCCAATCTTGGGGAAAAAGAAATGGCAAAACTGAGGACTGATACTCACTTAGTCAGCAGTCTGTGATTCAGGGTAATTCCCTGATTTGGGGGTGGGAGGCTTTCTGAACTTGATCAGAATTGCTAGCACGAGCCGCAATTTCTCAGCATTTGCAGAGCACTTCATTTGTTGCAAACAGAACACCAATTTTTATCTCATATCCAGCTTGATAATTAGTAGCTTGAGACACGTCCCAGATCCCACAACCATATTTCCTACTCTTTATTCCTTCTAAATTGGAAGATTCCAATTCACAATTATAAGGATATTTGGATAATTCTGGATATTCAAATAAAACATTGACTCAGAAAGAATAGATTTATCACTAAAGATTGCTTTTCATGTTCCATTAGACATAAATACACCATAAACAAAGTTTTATCTTTCAACTGGAAAGATGAATACCAATTCGTTCTTTGGTTGAATGTGTCTCTGGAATATATTTCTAAATGGTTTGTGGCAGCATCAGGATGTGATTTTTCAAACATTATCAATAATAAATCATCAGTTTCTTTCTCTGACAGTAGAAGAAAATTATTAGCCATCATGATTGAAAGATTTCCTCACAGTTTGTTCTTCTTAAGAAATTCTAATATTGTGTCCTAAACATTTGAAATTATAATCCTTTAGCTCTGAAATGATAGATTCATTTTATTCAAGATACTGACTCCAATTTTGAAGTATATTAGTTCATTCTAAGTAATTGAAACAATCAAGTTACAAAGAAATGTTCTTTTATTCCTAACTTTAAAAAATCAATTTTTGTTTTTTATCAACCACTATGTGTCAGTATAAAAAAAAATAGAGTTTTGTATTCACTAACCATTGCTCAACACGTCGCAGTGAAAAGATGTACATATACTGGCTATGATTCAGTCACAGTAAAAATTTCCCTGGTATTTTCAACCTTGGATCAAAATTGAGAGGCATACTGTTGGCTACTGATTAGTCTCTTTGAATAAAATATTCAAGAAAATATATGTGCACTGTTGGTAAGGGTCCCAGTGTATTTGTACTGTCCTCCTCTTGGCTCACAAAATCATTTTCTCTCTTTTTTTTTTTTTAAGATTCCATCTATTTATTTGACAGAGAGAGACACAGCGAGAGAGGGAACACAAGCAGGGGGGAGTGGGAGAGGGAGAAGCAGGCTTCCCATGGAGCAGGGAGCCTGACGCGGGGCTCGATCTCAGGACCCTGAGACCATGACCTGAGCCGAAGGCAGACGCTTAACGACTGAGCTACCCAGGCGCCCCCAAATAATTTTCTCTTAAATGAAAAAAGTCTGCTTATGGCACAGGCTTTCAGTGATAATGAGCTGTTGAACACGGCTCTGTCAGATACGCCTGCACGTATTCAAGGAGTTGATTTATACTCTGCAAACCAGTGGTTTGATCTACATGTAAAGCAAACTCTGTGCTAGAAATTCACACCTCATAGTTTCTCTTCACATTTTTTTTTTTTTACCATTGATAGTATGTAGTATCCAAAAGTTATTGGATTAAGGAATTTGCAGTTTTCATTACCTTTTTGACTAGCTTAACAGGTTTTTCAGCAATGGTGTGATCTGTATATATTTTGAATAATGCCTCTGGAGTTTTGGACTCTCTTCTACATTTGGATATACAATTCACTTAAATCATACTAGCAAGTGCTATTTGGTGCAAGGACAGGGGAAAAAGTGACTGGATTACCAAAGAGGTTCCTATTTTATTTGAAAATGGTGCATTTCTTTGGCTATCTATCAGTATTTGCAAGGATTTAAAACTGACAGTTCCTGGGGCAGCAGAAGCAAATGGGATTGCAAGTCCAATAAAATACATTTTCAGATATGTATTATTACATTTTATGTTTCCATGTTTTGGGCTGGAGATTTACTCAGCATTCTATGTTATATGAAGACCTTTCCATAATTTGTAATATTATTTTAAATTTCTCTTCACTCTGCATTGTATGGAGATCTTTCCACAGTTTACATTTATAATATCATTACTATTTTCATGACTTTTGTGTTTCAAAGAACTACTTGGAGGCAATGATACATTTTTTAAAGAACATTTTGGAACATAAGGTAACACAGTAGAGTAATATTGAAAAATGAAGCTTTAATAAGTGGAAACAAGCACACTGATGATGTAAATGATGCAAAGTATTATACTACACCCATGTGTGGCATGCATAAAATTTTTAATGAATGCAATGATTTTAAGAAACAATGAGATTTCTATAAAAAGCGTAAGTAATTATAATTCATGTCAAATACGTGAACAAAATTATTTCCTTGCTTTTATGTCCCCCTCTGCCAAACCACTTGCAAAGCATTAAGTATTTGGGGTGGGGAGTATACTCTTAGCACACAGATAGGGAAGTGATAGGGTGAGGGGGTAGGGAGGTCAGGATATGGAATGTGATGTCCTATGAAAGGGGCATGGTCTGCATGTCATCTTAAGGATGCCCACATAATCAGGAGCAAAAGGAAGTACCCAAAAGGTATGAATGGGCCATCAAATCCCAGAGTGTGAGAGTAAGATTTAATAATCAACCTCACCAATGAGAAGGGATGGGAGAAGCTTATTGAATCTTGCTTCAGCCTATATCTTCATAGGAGCTTGGGACAGAGGAGAGCTAGCAGTGACTCCAGTTTGCTCAACCTGGAGTCAGCAGAAGCAAAGGAAATAAAGTAGGGCTATTACTTTAGTTGATGAATCTCACACCTCAGAAGGGAAAAGATCAAATCTAATGAAAAAGAGCTAACGTGAATGACAAAAGCAGAACTCAAGATTATCCTGACAGACTAGAATAAAGTGTCCAAGTCAACTAAGTAAAAATTTGTAGGGTAACATGAAATGTGTCTATTTAATTTCCAAAAATCAGTTGCATAAGTGCAGATGGGAAGGAGACCTAAATGGACAGAATTCTTGTAAGAACAAAAAAGAAAATACTTGCAGGACCACAAATTCAAGAGCAACAGTTCAGCATCTAGAATATTAATGAAACTGCAAGCTACATTAGTCATTGTGTCCAGACACAAATATGTAAGAAAGTAATGGTAATCATAATGGCTTATCATTTCATAATATACTATTAGCAAAGGTATTTCATTCTCTTTGTGTTTTCCCATTGCACTCTGCATAATGTCATCCAAAATGGGATAGTTCTTGTCACTTTATTTAAAAGATGACAGCACTTTGAGTCATCTTCATGAGGTTGTCATAAATAAATTAGATAAGATATGGGAAGCCAGCAGAGAGCACAGAGCAGCTCCATAAATGATAGTAGAGTCTAAAAGAGTTGAATCCATAGGGGTACATGAAAGCATGAGGATAACATTTTTCTAAATTATTTTATCCAGTTTAATCTTCCTGGTAACCACATAAGCTTGGTTCTAGATGTTCCTCACCTGGCAAACTGCTGTATATTCTTAATGGCTTACATTAAATGTTACTTCTCAGGGGAAATCTAACCCCAGTCCCAAAACAAGGTTCGATGATTCTGTTCCATGCTCCCATTTAATCCTGTAATTTCCATCTCCTGGTGCTTGTCTCAATTTTTTGCTAACACTTGTTTAATGATCTTTTTTTTTTTTTAAACCCCTTTCTTTAATGTACAAGAAACACAGGAGACACAAAGAGAGCCCAAGAAAGCGCTCAGTCCCCAAGCTAGGAGTTTGGGGGGGGTAGTTGAAGACAACAAGCCTTTCCAGTCTCCCAGGGAAAGATGGGGTTGAGGGGACGCAACATCACTAGACCCCCAGTGAAGCCAGTGCTGGGGCCATAGTTGGCCTAGTTCTCCACCAAGTTTGGAAAGTGCTGATTTTCCTTGTCCTGGTCCTGGCCCTGCTCCCACACTCGGCCTCCAGTTTTCAGAAGTCGTCCAGTTCCCAGAATGGCCCCTTCCTTTAGCTCCCTAGCATTGCCACTCAGGGGAGAAGGCCGCTTACCCTGTCATGGTGTCAGAGTTCCGGGGGAGTTGTCATCCTGTAGGATTGTGAGGGGAGATCTCCCTAGTACCTTGCCATTTGCTTCCTGTCTATTGTGCTTAGAACCTGAAGATCGGGGAGTCTCAGGGTCTCTCAAGGGCTTGTCCGAGCCCTGGCTGGCCATGGGGGTTTCTGAGGTTTGTCCTGCTTCCTCCTTGGAGAACACCTGCTTGGAGGGGAGCTCAGTCTGGCTCCAGGGTGGCATCTGGTCCTCAAGAGAAAACTGGGTGCCCAGAGGCAAGTCCAATTCAGAAGATGAAGTTGCCTCTAAGGGCAGAACAGGCTCTGGGAGCAGATTCAATTTGGGGGCTTCAGTCTCAAATACTTCACTCAGCTGTTTCACCAGTGGGCTTGGGGGTTCTCCGCTGCTGGTCTTCATAGGTATCTGTGCAATGCCAAGGGTAGGAGAGCGGGGATCTGAGTCTTGGGACTGATTGGGACCCTCCAGCTGCTCCCCTGCTGGTAGGTTTGGCTGCGGAGAGCTCTCCACCTGGATGGGAGTGCACAGGATGCCGGCACTAGGTGAACGGGAGTCCACCACTCGGGCCAGAAGCTTATTGTGTGGCGGAGACTGCGCCGGAGTGACTAGGGCGCTCTTGGCTGAGCCCATCTCAACCAGGAAGAATAAGGTGGGGCAGGGCCTGGCCCGGGGCGAGGAGGGGACGCCAAGCCCCGATTCCTCTTTTAGGTGCACAGCAGCTCGAGCCTCAACTCCTTGTTTAATGATCTTTACTCCTCACTGGATTACCTGCTTTATGAAGGTAGTGACTATGTCTGTTTTGTTCAATGTTATATTCCCAGTACCTTGGACAGTGTTTGGTTAAAAAAAATAGAGCTTAATAAAGATTGGTTAAATGAATGAATGAATGAAATTGAGGTGCAGAGTGTTTGAGATGCTAAAAATCTCATAGTTCAAAAGCAGTAAGTACCTGTATCTACACCCAAATCATCTTCCTCCAAATGGTTTGGAAACTATGTCCTGAATATTTACTTTAGGAAAGATCTAAATTTCTTCAAATCCTTAAGTGTGTCATATACAAGGAGTCAACTTACTCTGTTACTTCAGTGAACTAATCTGTATCTAATAACCTACAGCACAAGTCATTTCAGCTCCAAATAGGAAAACATTTTTTAAATCAAGTAGAACTGCCCCATCATGGCATTTAGTAATGCTGGGGTTTCTTGTCCCTGGATGTTTCAGAACAAAAGAGAATAATCACCTATCAGAGATGCTGAAAAAGAATTCCTGAAGTTGGTGGGAGTAGGGATCCAATCACTTTTAAAAATTTTTAATTGTGGTAAAATACATATAACATAAAATTTACCATCTTAACCACTTTAAGTGTACAATTCAGTAATGTTAAGTATGCTCACATCACTGTACAACAGATCTCCAGAACTTTGTCGTCTTGCAGAAATGAAACTCTATATTCATTAAACAACAACTTCCCAGGTCCTCCCACCCAGACCCTGGCAACCACCATTCCACTTCTTGTTTTTATGAGTTTGACTACTCTAGGTATCTCATATAAGTGGAATCACACAGTATTTGTCTTTTTGTGACTGGTTTATTTCATGTAGCATACTGTCCTCAAGGTTCATCCATGTTGTAGCATGTGTCAGCATTCCCTTCCTTTTTAAGACTGAATGATATTCCATTGTGTGTATATACCACTTTCTATACATCCACTCATCCATCGATGGATATTTGGGTTGCTTCTACCTTTTGGCTTTTGTGAACAATGTTGTTATGAACATGGGTGGATAGGGGTGCCTGGGTGGCTCAGTCAGTTGAGCATCTGGCTCTTGATTTTGGCTTAGGTTGTGATCTCAGGGTCATGAGATCAAGCCCTGCATCAGGCTCCATGCCCAGCATGGAGTCCGCTTGAGATTCTCTCCCTCTGCTCCTCCCCCTACTCGAGCTCTTGCTCTCTAAAATAAATAAATAAAATCTTTATATATATATGATATATATAAGATATATACTTTGAGGCCCTGCTTTCAATTCTTTTGAGTATATACCCAGAAGTAGAATTGCTGGATCATATGATAATTCTATTTTTAATTTTTTCCATGGCAGCTTTACCATTTTACCTTCCCACCAACAGTGCCCAAGAGTTCCAATTTTTCCACAACCACATCAACACTTTAGTTTCTGTTTCTTTGATAACAGTTATTGTTATGGGTATGGGGTGATATTTCATCATAGTTTGATTTGCATTTCCTTAATGATTACTGAAGTTGAGGGCTGATCCAGTTACTTTCATTGTCCTTCCCAATTCTGAGTCTATGATAGTGGATTCTTTGATGGCCATGTGTTATGTGAGGACTACCCAAGCTTTTTCTAATTGAAGTTCCAGTGCATCAACATAATAGGAAATGAGTGTTGAATTTGTAAATCACTGTCAAGAATAGGGAGTTTTCATTTATTCATTCATTCATTTCTTCACTTATGCACCAAAAAATGTATTGACCCTACTAATGAAGATCATAAGAAAGCCCTAGGAAAACAAAGATGAATAAGATATAGTTTCTGACTAGTTCATGTCAGTCAAGAATTTCCTTGAGATAAACCAACAGATCAGAGAGTTTACTTTACTTTAATCCTTAGAACCTGGTTGACAGGCAAGATATTTGTGGCAGGCAGAATAACGGCCCCCTAAAGACATCCACATCCCAATCCCTGGGACCTGTGATTATGTTATGTTACATGGCAAAGGAGGATTGAAGCTGCAGGAGGAATGAAGATTGCTAATCAGCTAACTTTGAGATGGATTATCTGAGTGGGCTCAATATAATCACAAAGGTCCATGTAAGTGAAAGAGGGAGGCAGAACAGAGAGTATCAGAGTGATATGATGTGAGAAAGGCTGGATGAGCCATTACTGGCTTTGAAGATGGAGGAGCTGCAAGTCAAGAAATGCAGGAGGCCTCTAAATGCTGAGCAAGGCGAGAAAATGGTTTATCTCCTAGAGCTTCCAGAGAAGAAGGCCGCTTTGCTGATTAGTCCATTGAGACCCATTTTGGACTTCTGACCTCCAAAACTAAAAGGTAATTGTTGGTTTGAAAATTGGCCTCCATACACAGAGGGCAAGAAGTGACTGAATAAAGAGGCAGACCACTCCAGGTTGCTAGGTGGCAGTTCTAAGAAGCAAGAAAACTTACATACAAGGCTTGTCCTGGGCAGCCACAAGAGGAGTAATCTCTGCAACCACCTGCCAGAATCTTAGTTTCCATAGAGGCCTTACTTGGGTTCAGGACTGTATTCTGTCCAGATCTCAGTAACACCTTATTCTCTCCAGACTACATCCTTGAAAACAGCCCTGTTATGGGAATGATGGGCAGAAAATACATTCCAAGGACAGAAGAAGGAGTGAGAAGACTCTGATCATTAGGGTTGAGCTTGCAGATCAACTGAGGATCACATCCTCTTCATGACCTCCTTCAACAGTAATAAATTTGTCTAGTTTTAAGTCACAAAATTGGTGGCAATAGGAAACTAATACAGCATTATTATCTATTTTAGATACGGGTAAACTAAAGCTTTGGGAGGTTAAGGAAATTCACAAGATACCACAGCTCTGAGAGATGGAGTTCTGGTCAATGTCAAAGCCTGGGTGCCCTACCACCTCCCTTACTATGATCAGCTGCTTGGAGAGAACTCAATCTTCTGTACACAACAGAGCCTCACAAGTCTACTGACAAACCTGGTCAAATGATGCCATTTCGCAGATTTCATCGACTTGCAAGATAGGAAATTGAGGATTTGGTGGAATTTTTTGAGGTAAGTTGTTTTTGCCTTTGTTGTTGTGGTGGTAGTTGTTATCCACTTCCTCTTTCCCCCACACACTCCATGATGGAAAGCATTCAGGTGGCCACAATAGCTCTACCATTTCTATATCATTTCTCTGATTATTTAACTAATGCATCATCATGTAAGACACAATGGTCCAGGCTATCAGTGAAAGATCCTTAACTATGGCAGGTCAAGGAGGGGACTCTTTGATTATTTTATTTCCCTCTGCCTAAAGACTCTACTATGTATCTATTCACTGAAATCCTCAAAACAGACCTGGTGCTCATGTTCTGAGGGGCTGAGGTTGTCCTGAAAAGTGTCTCCTCCAGTAACTCCCTTCCACTTTGACTCAAACAAAGTGGAATTTTGGATAAAAAGGCACTAGAAGATGGAACTGAGAGAGAACAGCATGATGAGTCAGAAGGCTTGGGTTCATGCTCCAGTTCTCTTCTGGAGAGTCACTTTGCCTCTTTGAGACTCAATTTCCTCATCTGTAAAATGGAGATGGTCACCTTTGCTTTAGAGTCTCAGAGTTTGTGACAAGAATGGAATTTGTTCATGAGTTTGGAGGGTTTGAAAACTAAAGACCACCATACAGATTATAATATTGCAATGATGATACCTAAATTTTCACCTGGGATGTTTGTTGGGACTCTTATCTAGAGTGGGCAAATGAAGGGGCTCCACAGGTATCTGCCAACACCAGGGAAGTATTTGGCTGACTTTGCAACTTACAGAATCAAGAAAGGTGACCTCAAAACTGGTTTTGAATGACCCAACACTTCCATTCTTAAGTATTCACCTAAGATAAATGAAAACATGTGTCTACAAAAAAGACTAGTGTATGAATGCTCATAGCAGTTTTATTCAGGAAAGCCTAAAACTGGAAACAACCCATTGTCCATCAAGGAATGAATGGATAAAGAAATTTTGATATGTTCACAGAATTAGATACTACTCACAAATAAAAGGTTGGGGAAGATCACTGAAAAGATGTCACCACCAGTTGATCTGTGACCAGTGGACCCTGGCATTTGGAGGCTTTTCACCCCTTCCCCTATCCTTTGAATGTGGGATCCACTTGCCTTTACTGCTCCCAGAGACTGCTCTGAGGACATGGCCTTGAGAATGTGATGTGTTGGGGCACCTGCGTGGCTCTGTCGGTGAAGCGTCTGCCTTCAGCTCAGGTCATGATCTCGGGGTCCTGGGATCAAGCCCCTGCATGGGTGGGGAGTCTGCTTCTCCCGCTCCCTCTGCCCCTCCCCCTGCTCATGATCTCTCTCATTCTCAAATAAATAAACAAAAGGGGGGGCGATTTGGACACACAAGGAGAACACCACGTGAAGATGAAAGCAGAGAGATCAGCATGATGCTTGTATAAACCAAGGAATGCCAAAGATTGCCAGCAAACCACCAGAGGCTAAAAGAAAGGCATGGAGCAGATTCTTCCTCACAGCCCTCAGAACAAACCAACTCTGCCAATATCTCAGACTTCTAGCCTTAAGAAATGTGAAACAATATATTTTTGTTGACATGCCACCCAGTTTCTGGTACTTTGCTAGGAAAGCCCTAGCAAACTAATACATGCCCCTAGAGTTTAGTTTTCAACCTTGCTAATTGTTAAATCCAACTTATGTTTATTGAATGACATCAAGGTATTCTACACTATCTTAGACCCTGTGGAAAAACACGGGAAATAAGAACTGCCCTCTATGGGGAACATATATATGAAAAAAAGGGAAAGAAAAACAGTTCTTTCAGTTCCCAGCAGGAGTTCTAAGATTGTATCCATGTCAACCAAAATAATATGATTGCTTTAAAAAACAGAGAGCCAAAATACTCATTTACAATGTGCAATCTATCTGCCAATAGGCTAAG